AGGGCCGGCGCTGTCTATTGCCGTTTGGTTTCCATCTGACGGGAACGCCTATCAAGGCCTGCGCCGACAAACTGAGCCGCGAGATGAAGGACTTCGGGTTTCCGCCGCAGTTTCCCGACGACAGCGATGACAAGCCGTCGACCACTGCCGCGACACCGGACGAGCCGACCATCAAAGACAAGTCGAAGTCCAAGAGGAGTAAACTCGAGGCGAAGACCATTAAAGCCAAATATCAGTGGCATATCATGCGATCGCTGGGTCTGAGCGATGAGGAGATCAAGGAGTTCGCCGACGCGAACCATTGGTGCGAATACTTCCCGCAGAAGTGGATCGAAGACCTGAACGCGTTTGGACTGCGCGCTGATTGGCGCCGGGTCTTCATGACCACCGACAGGAACCCCTACTTTGACGCGTTCGTGAAGTGGCAGTTCCAGAGGCTGAAGGAGAGGAATAAGATTAAGTTCGGTAAGAGGTATACCATCTTCTCGGTGAAGGACAACCAGCCCTGCATGGATCACGACCGGGCCAGTGGTGAAGGGGTCGGCCCTCAGGAGTATACGCTCATCAAAATGAAAGTCTTGGACCCGAAACCCGAGAAACTCAAGAAGTGAGTAGTGTTTGAGTGATTGTGAGATCAATTGGTTAATGAATGGCGTGTTTGTTATGTATGTCAGACTCAAAGGCGACGTGTATTTAGTGGCGGCGACCCTAAGGCCGGAGACAATGTACGGACAGACCAACTGTTGGCTGCGGCCCGACATGAAGTACATCGCATACCGCGTGGCCTCTGGAGAGGTGTTTGTGTCGACCAATAGGTCGGCACTTAACCTCTCCTTTCAAGGCTTCACTAAAGAGAACGGAATCGTCGACAAAGTGCTGGACCTGACCGGCGGTGACCTCATTGGCGCCAAACTTAAGGCGCCGCTCACGTCATACGAGTGTATTTACGCCCTCCCGATGCTCACCATCAAAGAGGACAAGGGAACGGGTGTCGTGACGAGTGTGCCCTCTGACGCACCCGACGATTACGCGGCGCTCAGGGATCTCAAGAATAAGCAGCCGTTGAGAGAGAAGTACGGCATCAAAGACGATATGGTGCTCCCCTTTGAACCGGTAAGTCATGGAGTATAGAGTTTGTGACGATTTGATTGATTGTTTTTTGTGGTCACCGCAAAGGTTCCGATTATAGATATTCCAGATTTCGGTAATTTGTCGGCAGTTGTCGTGTGCGAGCAGTTGAAGATCCAGAGCCAAAACGACACCCAGAAGTTGGCCGAAGCGAAGGATAAGGTGTATCTCAAAGGCTTCTACGATGGGGTCAGTAGTGGTTGTCATAAATTGTGTGGACAGTTGTCTAATGTGTGGTTTGATTGCATGATTAGGTGATGATTGTAGGCCCGCATAAGGGGAAAAAGGTGGCGGACATCAAGAAAACCATTCAAACGGAGCTCATAGACCGCAAAGAAGCTGTGGTTTATATGGAGCCCGAGAAGCAAGTGGTCTCCCGGTCTGGCGATGAATGTGTGGTCGCTCTGTGCGATCAATGGTTAGTAAAATGAGTTTTTAAGACATTTGTATGAATTTTAAGTGTTTTTGTCCAACGAATAGGTTCTTAGAGTACGGCGAGAAGAAGTGGAGGGAAGAGGCGGACAAGTCGTTGGCGCAGATCAACACATACCACGACGAGACCCGCAGGAATTTCGTGGCCACTCTTGATTGGCTCAAAGATCACGCCTGTAGTCGACAGTACGGACTCGGGTCGCGCCTGCCGTGGGCTCAGGAATGGCTCATTGAATCCCTGTCCGACTCGACCATCTATATGGCCTACTATACGATATCACACTTACTTCAGGGCGGAGTAATGGATGGCAGCGGGCCGTCACCGGTAGGCATCAAACCCGAGAAGTTGACCCCAAAAGTGTGGGACTATATCTACTTCTCGGAAGTGTTGTATCCGAAAGACTGTGGTATTCCTAAAGACAAATTGGATAAATTGCGCAAAGAGTTCAACTATTGGTATCCTCTGGATCTAAGGACTTCGGGCAAAGACCTGGTGCCCAACCATTTAACTTATATGATATACAATCACTGCGCCATTT